GAAATTAAGTCTTAAATTGGAGGGGGCCATGATTTTATGACATCAATGTGCAGATCTTTCGACGACCTTTAAATGATTAAACATTGGGCCTACCGACTACCTCCAAAGTGCTCAAAAGCCAACTTACTAACTTTCCTCCTTCTCAGTCGAAATAATTTCTCACTTATATGTTGACCAAAGTGAAGTTTGAAATTGTGAGCGTTGCATGACAATCGCTATTATTAGTGTCGGAAATTCCTCGATAGATTTCTCCAAAGCTTTAGGATATAGAGCTCTTTCCTTAAACAGCATCATGACGAGGCAGTTCAATCAACTGTAAACTTAGCGGGTATCATAATTTTGAGATGGCTAGAATTCATTCATTCAGTTGCGAGGCCTTGTCTCGGAAAAAAAGGAAACCTGAAGTTTTGGAAAAAATCAATCGAGGAATTTTATCGGAGATCTAAAACCAAATTATCCGACATAGTTTGAGAGGAAAAAAATCTGAACATGGTAAATTGTGTAAGCCTTAAGATCCGAGACATTTAAGCTTTGGGTTGACCGAAATTTTTCATTAAATGAATGCCTTCTGTACCATGCTATGACCCTCATCCTGGCATATTATGCAACAACAGGATGTCTTGAAAAATAATTCCTTGGCCCAATATCTGTGTATCTGTTGTTAGTGCTCCTCGAATGAATAGGCTCGGTCAGACTCCATTTCATTTTCTTAATCATTTTACTCTTAAATAAAGATTGTCTCGCTTAAGTAATGTATCCCGAAAAAAATTTAATCCTCTAATCGTGACCTAGTGCAGTATTATATGTATTTGAAGGTAAAAAAGTGGTAATCCTAGGGTGAAGCCAGGCTAGATTCAAACAATCATTTTGATTCGAGCAGGAATCCAAATGCAATATTTGACAAATTGAAGGTCTTGGATGAGCCCCTGGGTAGACAAGAAACGTGTTGAGCTACAGACTTGTACCTTGTAAAATGTCTGCACTTTGCTAGTAAGTAGTCTCTTTGAAAAAATCTGGGAAACGTTTTGATGATCGATATCATTCTTACAATCATTCTTTGATCTTAGAATATGAGGATAATTCGATGGAGTGAACCGTTGCTATAGTAGCTTAGTAGGTCAGATAGACAGTCACAACATGCACAATGATGACCAGGTATTTCTTTGATACAAGTGAAAAATTAAAAGATAAATACTTAATAAAGAAACCACAACTTTTAGTTTGCAAGACATGTTTCGACATTCTTA